AAATTCGAGGAAAGTTACAATTATAGCTTCCAATCTGCTTACAGATCATGAATCTGTTTACATTAATGATCACTTTAATTATGTGTCATCTTTCGGCGGTATTGTAAAAGTGAAATAAATTTTTTATCTTCCAACGTACAACACCTACCCAATAATGCCATATTGTGAAAAATGTGTAAAGAAGATTTGTATCAATTATTTGTGTGTAGAAGTTACAGACTATTGGTTTCCTGACGACATAAGTGAGAGTTTTAAGCAAAATTTTTATTACAGTTTATGTTTTGCACGTTTGTTTACGCTAAGTGTATTTAATACAATGTTTCAGTTACTAGACTCCACAGAATCAGTAATTCATTTATGGGTCAATGTATACGCATTTACAGCTAAATCCCAGAACATATTCAAAGTTTGTCAATAAACAAGTTTAACAGTTTTATTAAAGAAACACTGTATAAAAAGGGTTATTATAATATCAAGGAATACATGAATGAAAATAACCCCTGGGAACAAGGTGATCGCCACCATGCTGATTCTATGAAAAATCATTTAAAAATCGTATAAACGAAATTATTGTTAAGTGAAATATGTTTGAAAAAAAAAGTCCCGCTGGGTTTCTTGCTGGTTCTTCCCAGGACAGAGGTATTTTCCGAACCAGTGATAAATAAAAAATGACTTTCAATAAGAATTATGTAATAATCAATATTGAATAAAAATTATTCTATTCTATTCTATTCTAATTTAATGTGAAATAAAAATGCATTGCGATTTTTTTTAAAATTTATATTCAATATGTAGTTGCAATCCAACCGTGTCTTTCCATGTTTTTCATTAACCATTTATACACCTGTCTCCTGTCATTTTGTGTTAACGCTCTTAATTTAAGGTTTATTGTTGGCCATGCGTAATTAAATCTTGTTTGTATTCTTATTTCGTGCTCTTTTGGCTGTCTATCCATTTTTATGTATTCGTGTATTTTTATCTTGAAGTTTTCCTTTAGCTGTTTGTCTGTTTCGTATAGGTACATTTTGTTATCAACATTTTCACATCTTATCTTGAGTGTAGTTAGATGTTTTGGCACTATTGGTTTTGGTAATTGTGTTTCTACTGCTACTACCGGGGGTTTTTGTTTTCTTTTTCTGCTGTTTTTTTTTGCTGCTGTATTTATTATTGCGTCTCTGTGTTTTGGATTGTTTTTATCTTAGTATATTCTTGTTCCGGTATACCCAAGTTTAAAAATTTCCCCGTTTAATATATCTTTTTTAATGTCTCAATTTCTGCTAATTGTACTGCTGCTTGTCTTATGCGTTCGTTTACTTCGGCTATTGCTAATTTCTCTTCGTCTGACACGATTGAAGTTATTTTTTTTAACCTGGTACTTTTTCGGCTCTTACGTATATTACTTGCTCACTGTTTATTACTACATTTTCTCCTTAACTGTACCACACGTGTTTTTGTTGTTTTATCTCATGTTGTCAGGGCACACCTCTAATCGCAAATCGTCAGACGGAATGATTGAGGATGGCTCAATCATTCCAAAGACCCAATGGCCCTCAATATAGCGTCTTACAAAAAACATAATTAGCTTAAATTACAGTAATTAGAACTTTAAGGGAATAAATAGAACGAGATAAATCAAAATTACCTTTGTTATCCGTCCGTTTCCCAAATTTTGACGTATCGATCTGGACAACTTTTTCTAAGCCTCCAATTTTTCCACTGTATTCCATTTTTTCCAAATAATAAAGAAATATGGATTCCCGACGTAGCTGAACCAATCAACAATTGTGGTTCTGCCCAAACAGTGCTCCGTCTCTTCCTTGTACGGATCCTCGTTCATCGTTATTTCGTAGCTCCATTTATGAACATAAGCATATATTAAACAAAATACGTGCAAAAACGGTATATGAATATTTTCAAAAAATGTCGCAGCTGTCCGTGATATTTTTCCTTTTAGCTTACATTGGCCTTTCATGCAAATCCAATCACCAAACGATTTGTTTGCCAATTTTGCCAGTCGCATGGATGTACGGTGCGTACGGCATATTTTTTGAGAGTGCACCATTCCATTCGCTTCATCAAAACCAACACACTGTTCATTGGTCCCAAGTTGTTTGATGATTTTTGATAAATTCCAAATTTTTACCACTTTCTCCAAATTTAAACGTCGATCAACAAACGGCTCGTCGTCCATAAGGAAATCGTGATCAGAAATTGTCGACTCAGTCGCAGTCACAGCTCCACCCAACCCTGAGCTCGTAGATGGCTCGGGTTCCGAATCTCGGTCGGTTGCCGACATAGCTTGCATATCGGTGGCCAGTGAGTAAGCCAAAGTCGTCCAGAGATGCAATCCAATCGGTGTCCAAAAGGGTAGCTAAGTTGTCGAAAAAGAGCAAGCAATCGGTGTCCAGAGGTGTAGCGAAGTCGTCAAAAACAGGAGGAGGCAAATAAAAATGTAAGGGAGCATATTCACGTAAACTCGGAAGCAATGGAATGTCGTAAAGTATATCTGTCAATGTCAATGAAATTGCCGGGGTTAGATTTGAAAGTAAGTCGCCTGTATTTTGCCGGCCTAGCAATTCACTTTACGCATGTTGAGTGACTTTGCAGATGCAACGTCAAAAACGTAAGAATTTAGTTAAATATATGATCCATTTCACATTTGGTTAGTGATTTACCAATAGTTTAAAATACTTTGACGCTGCAGCGAAAATCGCATGGAGGTACTTTAGATAAACCCACTTGAGCCCCCCACAGTGACAGAATCCTCAAATTCAGGCGACTCGATTTCAAACCCAAACCTCGAAACCAGGCGTACAGAAAATTATTTTCTGTAGCTATAATCAAAACTGCCTCTGCACTAACACAATATCGCTAATGTAACATTGCGACAGCCGGGAAAGTTTCTATTGGGTCTTCGGTCTTGCTACTCATAAAAATCAACTAACGTCATATATGTGGTAGCATCCATTTTCGACTTGAATTTGTTTTTGGCATAAGGGTATGCAGAAAAACCTGTTTCACAACAATACGGCTACTTCAGAGTGTTCACTCCTATTACCAACCCAAAATTCATTCAGAGACCCAGACTCAAATGTATGTTTAATGTGGATGAACTTTGAATATCTATGAATGCTTCCTAATCTATGATGGTTAGTATCGCAAGTTGACTTCTGATGATAGTTATGATAGTTTTAATTTCATTTGGCAATTCCGACGCGATTTCTTGCAGAAAGTTGTATGAAAGAAGAAAATTTAAAATTTTTTCTTTTCTACGCAGGCAATCCTTTTTCAAAAAGACATTTGCGATGCTGTAAGTCTTACAGCAAAGTCATTAAAGTCATATATTTTATTTTCCACTTCATCACTAGTTCTACTCTATGGTGAAAATAGTTTGCAGATATGAACCTGTGTCCGGCTTGAAAGTATTTAACAATAATATTCTCTGCATTGATCTGATCAGAATTTATAATATAAATAAATTATTTTGAACAATTATCAACCTATAATACAATATTTTTCATATCCCGATAGAACAGGGATTCCCTAAATATTTTGGGCAAGAGACCCCTTTTCCAAAATGAACTGATACCTCAGACCCGCATAGTAGTCGCGAATCTAGGGCTCCAAACTAGGGCAAGCCCAAGATATGGTTTTGTTGTTTTTAGCAGTTTTATAAAAATACACCAATCTGGATCTGTCTCCACTCTTCAGTTTCATATTCAGTGCTCTCGAGGACGTGTTTAACAAAGCACACAGAAGGCATACTACTGCTAGACAGATTGTATGACGATATTTACAGATATTTACATACAACACAATACATGGACAAAAGAAAAGCATGAACAAAGTACAAACTAATTATGTATTAAATTAAAAAACAAATTATTTATATTCTAAATTGGATCGTCTCTCTTTCTTAACACGTTTACTGCGAAGCTCAAAAAACACAATTTTCCACTGGTGCGGTACAAGACAATATTGCCATGTACTGTTAATTTTTATAGTGCGAAACAAGGCTATTGTGACCGGTACACAATTTTTTTTAAACTTGTATTTCTCTTAATTTTTTTTCTTTCTGGCAGTTCTTTGACTTTTATCAGTATCTAAAAACCTTGAACTGTATACATTTCTCTTGGTTGTAGAATTGGACAAATATTTTTTGGCTTATAGATATAAACATCTTACCGGACTTATGTCATGTAGCGCACCTAAAGTGGTGAAAATGTTCAAATAGTCGATGAATAGTAGTGATGTTAATAAGAAAACAAATATTTATCGATATTATTTTTATTTATAAAGTAAATTAAGTAACAATATTTTCATGAGCTTTATTGAAACAAGCAAGACAAAAAGCTTTCTTACATTCAACACACATCAATTTAACTTTTGGCACCTTTTTGTCAGCTTCCCGGCTAGTCATTGTATTTCGTAATTCCTGATAGCAAAGTGTGCACTGTTTTCTTTTAGTATGTTTTTCGAATGTATGATACTTATTTTTTTCTGAGGACTTATTATCGTCGTAAAATGTATGCCCAGTAAAGTTTTGTATAACAGATTCAACAAAATCTATCAATGTTCCTTTTTTCTTAGATGTATTATTATTACCGAAAGATTTAACCCTCAGTTAACCTGGTGCCTAAATATACTTTAATTTATCTGGTGGAGTCCGAGGGACTTCAATTCAAGAAATTGTTGATAAATTTAAAGTGAAACGACATTTTATGTTCAAAATCATTTATTTAACTAAAAAACATTACCTTCTCTTACTTTTATATAAAACTTTGGTATTAATTATCATATGAACATTTTAGCATTCGAAAAATAAACTACCCTTGAAATTAAATTAACAAAAATTTGCTTGAACTTGTAGCTACTATAACAATTTGAATATAAGGAATATTAATTTTTTTACTTAGAAGATACTTAAACAATCTAATTAACTTATGAAAATAGACTAAAAAAGAATACTGTTTCATATAAAAATAAAAAACGTGCAACACTTAATCTTTAGCTGTCGCAACACAATGAGTGCAAATCTTCTTCGTACATGCCAAACATACTGGCTTCATACAGTTATGGCACAAAAATGAAGTCTTTCTTTTCAGGCGTTTAGGACATATATGGCAGTATTTTCTTTGCTTTCTAGGCAATTTGTCATCTAAAACTTGTTGTTCTTCTACAAGAGGTACCTTTGTGATGTCAGATATCAACTCGCGTAGCTGACGAGGAAGTCTTTCGTTGTATTGCCGTGATTTCAAATTCATGTCATTTAGTTGCTCAGCCAATCCTTTTATGTAATTTAGACGTGTCATTTTGCTGATACCTGCTTGGCTTTTGTGAATAACATAGCTGTTCCACGCACTCATGTCCAATATGCGGAAAAAAACTGCCATTGGCCAACGTCGTGTACGTCGACTGCATGAATATACAGAGCATTTTTGGTCCACCGAATCTACGCCACTTTTTGTGTCATTATAATATTCAATAATGTCAGGCTTTAGAGATTCTGGATTAATTTTAGAATCGTGATGCATCGTAGAGTACAATATTACTGCTTTGTTTTTTTTAGGCAGAAAACTGACTAAAGTGCAATATTTCGTAAATCCAAACAGTGAACTATTCAGCTCTTTGTTCTTCGCAGGTAAAAACTCTTTTGGAATGACAGCTTTGTTTTTTTTCAAAGTACCTACTGTAGTCAATCCTTTATTTTTAAGTTCTTGTGAAAGTTCTATTGACGAATACCAATAGTCTGTTGTTATAATGGGTGTTTTTTTAAGCCCGATAGAACTTGAAATTGTAAAAAATAACACAAAAAATTAAATTGTAATCAAAATTTTTTTTTTATTCGAAAGATCAATACGTGACATTAACATTTGAAAATGATTTCGGGCATATGGGCACCGCGGCTGTTCTTGACGAAGCGCATTCTGCACGTCCAATTTTGGGCCACTTTTTCGAGCACTGCTGGCCGTATGTCACGAATAACACGAACAATGCTGGCCTCCAAGGCGTCAATTGTTGCTGGTTTATCAGCATAAACCAGTGACTTTACGTAGCCCCACAGGAAATAATCGAGAGGTGTCAAATCGCACGACCTTGGAGGCCAATTGACAGGTCCATTTCTCGAAATCAACTTATCGCCAAATTTTGATTTCAATAAGTCGATGGTTGCGTTCGCCGTATGGCACGTAGCGCCATCCTGTTGAAACAACATCTCCTCCGGATCAATGTCATCCATATTTTCAAACAAAAAATCATTGATCATGGTGCGGTAACGATCTCCATTGACCGTAACGCGAGCTCCGGCCTCATTTTTGAAGAAATAAGGTCCGATGATGCCACCAGCGTGAAAACCGCACCAAACGGTGCATTTTTCTGGATGTAATGGAGTCTGTAGGGTCTCTTGTGGATTGGTCTCGCTCCATATGCGGCAATTTTGCTTATTAACAAACCCGTTAAGCCAAAAATGCGCCTCATCGCTGAACACAATTTTGCGATAAAACAACGGGTCAGTTGCCAACTGCTCTAGAGCCCAATCGGCGAAAGAACGACGCATATAATGGTCTCGTGGCTTCAATTCCTGCACCAGCTGGATCTTATACGGGTGTAGGCCGAGATCTTTGCGCAAAATTTTCCACGTAGTGGACGGACAGAGCCCCAATTCCTGCGACCGACGACGAATCGATAAATTTGGATCTTCTTCCACACTTTCGTTTACAGCGGCGATATTCTCTTCAGTACGCATATTCCTTCGACGTGTTGGTGTTATTGCATCCTCTAGAGAGTATGTGGTACGAAATCTATCCACAGTTCGACGAATGGCTTGTTCAGATGGACGATTATGTACGCTATAAAAATGACGAAGTCGTCTATAAGTTGCGCGAATCGACGACTGATTTTCAAAGTAAATTTGGATAATTTCGTAGCGTTGTTCAAGCGTGAGTCTATTCATGATGATTTGTCAGAGTATACTGAAACGATAAAAAAAATATTTCATCAAAATTTAATTTTTTGTGTTACTTTTTACAATTTAAAGTTCTATCTAGCTTAAAAAAACACCCCTTATTTCTGTTGGTGTTAAATATTGACTTACACAGTCTAAGTACTGCTTGAGTTGGAACAGGCTTTTTCTTATCTTCTTCTGATAATGTGTAAGAGTCAGATCCTTTTCCTGTATATATGTAAGTGTTATATACGTAGAATGTTGCAGAATCAGCTAGACATTGTACCTTCACTCCATATTTGGCTGGCTTACTGGGGATATACATTTTAAACCTACACCTTCCATGAAAAGCCAGCAGCATCTCGTCAACAGTAAAATTAGCACCTGGGACATACCTTGCTTGTGAGTTTTTATTGAACATTTCAAGAAATTCACTAACAGCACAGCCTGGATCTATTATTTTTCGAGCTTCTCTGTCAGTGAAATTGTCAAATCTGAGAACTAGAAGTAGTATAAGGAAACGTTTTTTAGACATAGAAACCCGAAATATAGGTCTCCCTGTTCCGTCAGTTGCAAACAACGACAATACACTTTCATGATTGGACTTAAATGCTGCACCATATAGTAGCAGAGAGAGAAAACCTTTCAGTTCTATTTGGCTCGTCTCCTTGAAAGCGTATTGCTCCTTTGGTGAAATGGTCTCACGAACTATTTCCAATTTTTTATTAGTCCACTCTAAAATCGTTTCTATCATTTGATTATCAAAAATAAGCTGAAATGCATCCAAAGGAGAAATCGGACCATTCTCTGTAACTAAATCATTTTGGTTTGAAGGCAAACGAAGAATATTGTGAGACTGTGTGCGGATGTTTCTTGACGGGGGTTCGCTTGACCATTTGAATCGGTTTTTTCCGTAATAATATTTAGTGCTCTCACCTGAGGTTAACACATCTTCATCATCTGAGTCAACTGAATACTCTGAGTCCGAGTCGTGATCAGAAGGTATACAGTCATCTTCAGAGTCGGATAATAGTTCTTCAGGTATCACAGCTCGAGATGGTTCAAGTGATTGAGATTCATCGTCGGTACAATCTTCGTCATTTAGCCAGTCGAGTAGAATAGATTCAGCATTTGGTTGATCTACGCTAACTACTTGTCTATTCGAAGCCATTTTTCAGTCTAAAACAAAAATAATAATAAGTGATATTGAAAAAAAAGTTACACAAATGCCCTGGTGGAGTCCGGCGGACTCTACTAGCTTAAAAACTCACCGATGGATGAAGCGCAGACGCACGTCCTCTCTCCCCTGCGCGTCGCACGCTACTGTATGAAGGTACTGTGACGCACAAGCCTTTGAGTGCCAAAACAAAGAAATCACAACACTTTGAAAATCGCGTGGAGTCCCTGGGACCTAACAGATCAATTAAGGGTTAAATTACCGAAAAGCAAACTCATCATAAGTTTTCGGCACCATTTGATCCCTCTTCTCAATGACGAATAATATGCTGTCATTTGGTCACTATAATCAACGACTTTCTTATTTAAATTATATAAAGATACACATTCTGGCTTGTAAATTATCTCACCATTTCTTTTTTTTTGCCTATGTCTTTTACAGCTGCAACATGATTTTTGCATGTTGTTATCATTGTAACAGCCCGTTTGTCATGCCATTTAATTATTTTAACTCCGTTTTCATTCATTTTACCAATACACTGTCCTCTTTTCAGCTTAGTAGATATAACATTTTTAGGTAGACCTCTTCTGTTTATTCTTATTGTTCCACACAGTTCAGTTTTTTTCTTCAATAAATCTTCTGCTAAGCCCACAGAGGTATAGTAATTATCGGCTATAACAGTTCTACCGCTCCCACCTAAGTCTTTTATTAATTTTAGGACGATATCATGGGCATGTGGCTGGTTCCTAGGTTGGTCATTTTTACCTGTGTAAACAATTACGGACCATGTATACCCTTCAGGTGTACACAATTTAAATAATTTTATCCCATATTTATGGTTTTTGTTTTTGATATACTGTCGAAATTTCAGTCGTCCTCGCCACGGAATCATAGATTCGTCAATCACTAAATACTGACCGGGTGTTAAAACTTCACTAAATGTGCTCAAAATCATACTCAAAACATCACGAACTTTGCATAATTTATCCGTTGGATCAATTGTATCATTACCGAAATGCCAACATTTTAACAGCAATATGAATCTATCTCGCGTCATTAATGATTGAATGTATAGGTTTTATAACATGTCTTTTTCGACCAATAATTACTTAAGCTTGGTAGTTTGACAACTTCCATTGTCATCAAGATACCCAAAAAAGTGCACATTTCCTCAAAATTGGTGGCCTGCCACTTTCTCAGCCTAGACTTATTTTTGACACTTTCATTACGACAACAATTATTTGCGTAATTATTTGTCTCGGCTACCATTTTATGCATAATGTCATCAGTAACAAATAACTTATAGATTTGTAATGGCGATGTCACATCGGGTGGAATGTTTATTACAGTATCATTTTTATAATAACCAATATTGGGCATAGAAGAAGTGATATCTACCCATTCGCTATCATGTGACGTAATAAAAGGATTCTGAATACATACTGTATCTTCATCATCAACCCTCGATACCGTCTCCGTATCACTTGAAGAACTTTCTGAACTAGAAGGTTTATAATTGCTGTCGCTGTCCGTACTTATGTCGCTATAATTATGTGGGTCTTCGTTTACAAGCTGATTGGTCTCTGGGTGATGAGATATTGTATCCGTCGCGCAATGCTTTGAACTAGTAGCCGGTAGTGATAAATCTATTGCTTGCGAGGTATTAGCTGCATTACTACTTTCTATAATCAAATGTTCTTTAGAGTTACTATTTTTATGATGATTATGATGGGTGTCTAAAGTTTTCTGTTTATTTGACTTTGGTGTAGATAATAATTCGTTTATAGATTCTGGTGTCAGGGCAATCAATGTTTAATAAATTATTATACGATAAGTCGCTAAGTGAGCCAGCTTCACTCGAACATCCAGGAAAAGAGACATTGTATAATACTGCATATGTGTTGATAGTAGAAGGACTTTCATATGTTGTTTTCCTGGATTAATTATTTCGCTTGTAGTTGACTGGTGAAATGTATGTGACCCAGGTGATGTAGCTTTAACTGAACCTGATGGAGTCTTTATATCTTTCAAAACTTTGATTTGCTTCATCATCATTATCATCATTACAGCCCTTCACAAGTCCACTGCTGAACATAGGCCTCCCCCAAAGAATGCCACAAAGCACGGTCCTGAGCCACCTGCATCCATCGACTTCCTGCATATCTTACCAGGTCGTCACTCCATCTAGTGGGGGGACGCCCTACACTTCGCCTGCCGGTACGAGGCTGCCACTCGAGAACCTTTCTTCCCCATCGGTTGTCGGTTCTTCGAGCTATATGGCCGGCCCATTGCCACTTCAGCTTACTAATCCGTTGGGCTATGTCGGTCACTCTAGTTCTACTGCGGATATCCTCATTTCTGAGTTTATCACGCAGAGAAACTCCGAGCATAGCCCTCTCCATAGCTCGCTGAGCGACCTTGAGCTTCCTCATCCGGCCAGCAGTGAAGGACCACGTCTCAGTTCCGTATGTCATCACTGGCAACACGCACTGGGTGTACAGTCTCGTTTTCAAGTTTTGAGGTATACCTGACGAGAAGATGTGCCGTAATTTCCCGAACGCTGCCCAACCGAGTTGAATCCGTCGATTGACCTCTCGGTCGAAGTTGGACTTACCTAGTCGGACTATTTGTCCCAGGTAAACATACTCGTCAACAACTTCGAGCTTAGTGTTCCCAACAACTACCGGCATAGGTGTGACATGGACATTAAACATGATCTTTGTTTTGACCATGTTCATCTTAAGACCTATCCGTTGGGAAACACTATTGAGGTCATTGAGCATAGTGCTTAGGCCCTCCAGGGATTCTGCCATAAGGACTATATCGTCGGCAAATCGAAGGTGAGTAATGTACTCGCCATTGATGTTGATACCGTATCCTTTCCAGTCCAGAAGCTTGAAAACATCTTCCAATGCAGCGGTAAAGAGTTTCGGGGATATGACGTCACCCTGTCTTACACCTCTCTGCAATTGGATAGGTTTCGTACTCTGGTTCTGTACTCGGATAGCCATCGTAGCCCTACTGTACAAGCACTTCAACACTTCGATATACCGACAGTCAACTTGGCATCGCTGAAGGGACTGCAGCACCGCCCAAATTTCGACGGAATCAAAGGCTTTCTCATAGTCCACATACGCCAGACATAGTGGCAAATTGTACTCCTCGGACTTCTGTACAATTTGCCGAAGGGTATGTATGTGGTCTATGGTGCTAAAGCCTTTTCGGAAACCGGCTTGTTCGGGAGGCTGGAAGTCGTCAAGTCTGCGCGCGAGACGATTCGTAATGACTCTCGAAAACAGCACGTAGACGCGGCTCAGAAGGGAAATCGGTCTGTAGTTCTTCAAGAGAGCGTTGTCGCCTTTCTTGAAGAACAAGACCACCGCACTTCTGCTCCACGCCTCCGGTGTAATGCCACCATGAAGGACGGAATTAATGATTTGCTTACCAGGAGGGAAAATCTTTCGATTTTTACTTGTGCTGTCGGATGTAATATCATTATCTTCCATTTTTCCTTCGAAAACACGCGCCAACATTTTTCGGGAGCGCTTCATTATGAAATTAAAAGTCGTAACTATTACGTAAATAAAGGGTGAGAAAATGAAAGAAATGTCGACAAACGTCTAAACGGTAATGAGGTCAGTGTGCCTAGTGCGAGTTTTTTTACGCGCTCGATACCGAGAAAGTTAACTACAATTTGTATGGAATAAAATCAGCGCCAACTAGTGGCAATAATAGGAATCACAGTTCATGAGTGCGAGTTTATTACGTCGTCGATATCGACCATCGAGCATTCACTCGCATTCGACAGCGAGAACGTAAACGCACGTGATTGGTTGTTTCAAGAATTTTGCGAGTGCGAGTTCCAATTTTGATCTAACATAAATAAAGTTTACGCGGTCGATATCGAAAAAGTTTTCATCTAAATTTTGACAGTGAGAAAGCATAGTGAGAACGATTGTTGAAGGTTTAATTTTATTTCGTTTTGTGTGAACAATATTTAATTATGGCAGGACGTTTATTTTTCGCATGGAGAATGTTTACAGCCGCTAAGGCACAAGATGACCGCAATTATAACGCCAATGTTGAAACAAGAGCTCGTGCATCTTTCAACCCTTTGTTAACCTCACGGGGAGGCAATTTAAAGATAGGTATCGCATTTCCAAGAAAGTGTTCAAGTTTTTGTGTAAAGAGCTAAGGAGTTTGACAAATCTTAGCTCCTCTCAACGCGTTTCCTTGGAACATAAAGTATGTATCGATCATTAAAGTATTCACATTTTTGCAACTCAAGTTTAAAACAAGTGCAAGTTTAAATATAAGTTTGTTCTCTTTCTAATTGCAGGTGCTCACTGCTCTATTCTTTTTTGCAACTGGATCTTACCAAAGGCCAGTTGGGATTGCAAAGCACACATCTCAAAAAATGTGCAGTGTGTACATAGAAGAAGTTACCCAGGCGCTGACACACAAAAACATAATAAATAAATATATTCGGTTCCCTGACACTCCAGCTGCTAGACAAGCAGTTAGTCAACGGTAATAAATATATGCTTATTTTTAAACAACCTTATGCAAATTATTCATTAGATTCGGTAATTATTTATTTTAAAATTCAGTTTTTACAGAAAATATGGAATTCCTGGAGTGGTTGGCTGTATTGATGGAAGTCATTTTAAAATAGTTGTCCCACCAAAAGAAGAGGAACATTTGTACTATAGTCGTAAGCACTACCATTCACTTAATGTTCAAATGGTAAATCTTAAGTTTTTTTTTATTTTATTATTCATTGGTTAAAAAGGGGTAGAAAATAAACAAAATGTCTTCTTTTCAGGTATGTGATGATGAATATAGAATTTTAAATGTAAATTCCAAGTTTGGAGGTGCAAATCATGATTCCTTTATATGGGAAAACAGTGATTTGAACACATACATGCAATCTTTGCACCGAAATGGAGAAATTGTCTGGCTTTTAGGTAATATATCCAGAGTATAACTTATTGGGATGTTTTGAGTTATATGAAGTATTTTTAAGTAAAACATTACTAAATAATTTCTATCGATATTATTGACAATAACATGTATATTTTAACTCTAGGAGATTCTGGATATCCCCAACGCCCATGGCTTATGATACCATTTTTAGACGCCGAGTCCAATAATTATAATGAAAAGCATATGAGAGCTCGAGTTGTTATTGAAAACACATTTTCAAGGTTGAAAAATCGATGGAGATGTCTGCACTTATTTGTGGTGCTGGTGACTGCAAAGTTACTTCTTGCACCTGTTGTTCAATGGGTGTTGGTGAAGCAACAGCTGTGGTTCTGCTGCCACTTGCTACTAAAATAATCTATATATCATATGAATAATCTATATGTCATAGCTCTTCCCGAAAACTGTTAAGTGACTTTAAACTTATATGTAATAGGCCAGCTAGAGACAAAGTGACATGCTTCTGTTGCATAGTAATGTAACTGACCGTATATAGAATTGAACATTGTGTTCAAGACTCATCTTCAAACACTTCACACATTGATAGACAAAAATAGGTACCTGCATAATAAATCCGCCCATGCTGCTAGCTTTTTTGAGTTCGTATTTGTATCAGTATTTTTATTTTCAATTACTGATGTTTTGTACATTTTTGGGTTTGAGACTAATATATTAATTTGTGAAGACACCCATTCCACTATCAAGATGACACATATGGCCACTGGTTATTCTAGAGTAAAACACTTAGAAAAAAAGCTTTCATTTGTAAAAGAAAAGTTGGATAAAAATATTATAGAATTGAGATACATAAATACCAGTGACCAACTCGCAAACATATTAACCAAAGCTTTGGGGGGAACTTTGTTTAGAAAATTAAGGGATAAGTTGTTCAGTAAATAAGAATTCTTATTGTTAATAAAATATTTTATTGAGGGGAGGTGTTAAGTACAATTAAATATTTTGTACTGGCAACATGATGTACCCTGTGGTAAGCTGCGATGGCTGGAATCTCTTGTGTTTTAGTGTTCTGCCATGTACCAAATTAAAAAAGAATAAACGAGCATCTTGAAGAAATAACTAAAGGTTTATTTGCAAAGTCCTAACAAAATAAATAAATTTGAATAAGCTTAAACCTTTCTTTTATTTATAACCAGCCTTACAAACTTAATTAATTAATAGTAACATAATATAGGTAACAAGAATATTGAAAAAGAACAAACTTTTTTATTCAATATAGATTATAAATAATACTTATTGAAAGTCACTCTTTTGTTTAATAACCACTGGTTCGAAAGAAAACCTCTGTCCTGGGAAGAACCAGCAAGAAACCCAGCGGGACTTTTTCTTTTTAAATAACAGCTTACAATCATGTATGTTACACAAAACAAATTAGAAATAGCTTGGTAGCGATCACCTCATTCTCAGGGGTTATTATCATCTATAAATTCCTTAATATTATAATAACCCTTTTCATACAAACTTTGTTTAATAAGGTTTTTGAACTTTGAAATTTTGTATGTTTTCTGGGATTTTGTTATAAAAGCGTATACATTGCCCCAAGAATGAATTACGGACTTGGTGGAGTCGAGTAACTGGTACTACTAGCTTGTGTCTGTTCCTATTATTTACAGAATGAATATCACTTATTTTTATAACTACTACACTTATTTTTAAAATACTACCTACTCTTAATAGAAAAAAATTGACTAATCTTTACAGTACTTATTAACTACTTTATCTAACAAATCTATAGCTCTTAAACCTAATGCTTGCCACTCTCTCTGAGATTGAAGTTCCAACTCCCTGATTCTATGTCGCTCCCTTCTCAAGTCCATGTAGTCTTGGTGTTGCTGTTTTTTAAAGTTTCTCCAGTGTTCTTCGGCTTGGAGAAACTGTTGTGCTGCCTGCTCTGTGTGTGCTGGCCTCACTCGTCTTCGAGGTGATCTTCGAGTACGAATGGGTCTTGCACGGCAAGGTGTAGTTTGCCCCGACAAAGCAGGCCCCGGTTGACTATCTTGGACTTGAGATGAGAGCAAAGTTGGAGAGAGTGTGCCCGTATCTGTAATAATTTCTGTAATGTTAATATGTTATCAAATTTATTTAAAAATATCACCTTCAGGAATAATTAAAGTTCTATCTTACTTTCCATTTGTACCTCCACAAAGTTAAGCTTATTTCAATTTAGCTTATTTTTATTAAAATTTTCAAGTTAGCTTTTAAATTTATAAAATTAATTAATTTTTATCTAAAAGTAAGATTTATTCATATTTAACCACTTGTTGTGTACATTGAGTGGCTCATGTATATTTTATTACTTTTAATTTATTCAGAGAAAGAAGAGACACACACACACACACACACACACACACGCACACACACACACACATACACACACACACACACACACACACACACACACACACACACACACACAATAATTGGTTTAGTGGTTCCAAGTGCTGCTGCCAAGCAAGAATTTTTGGGTTTGTTTCCCAGAACAAACTCAGTACTAGCTTAAAGATTTTATACTGTCTTATAAGTAAATTATATATTACTTTGAACTTCCTCTGTAAAGGCAAGAGATGGTGTAAATATAGCCCTCGGCAATGTTGGTGGCAATTGTGGGGCAATATTGTCCTGTAGTGTCCTGTCCTGAGCAGGTTGTAAAGTACCTAAAATTAAAAAAAAAACATTATTAATATAATATAATATTTACTCTTAATAATTTGTTAATAATATGCTACTTACATTCTATTGATTGAGGTGGTTGTGGAGTTAGTATTCCTTGTTCAAGGTTCACTGTGGGATTAGCCTGAACATAAGTCCGCTGAAAGAAAATACAATTTATGAGATATATAACCTGCTAGCAGGTGATTTAATTTAAGTTAAAGTTGTAACCTGTGACAACCCAGCCTCTTCAACTGCCACGCCCGTAGCTACCTGTACACCAATCAGATTTAGAACTCTTTGTTCTAAATCTGTTAATTTGCCATGTGTAGCAGGCCCACCACCAGTACCACTAGCCGCTTTATGTAGACGAGCAGCCTTCTTTTTAATATTGTTTTTGTAATCACTCCAAACCTTAAAGCGAGCAGAGAAGCAAATGTTTCATAAAATTAGAGAACCACAACCCAGTTTAAACCAAAATAGGTAAAAATAAATAATCATTTAGACGAACCTTCTTCCATTTCTCAGTGCTTTTTGTATCACCACTACCATCACTATTCAAAAATTGACCTAACACCTCCCAGTTTTTTATAGAAGCCATCCTACCTCTCGCATTATTCGATAGTTTGCTGAGATCTCCATGCCTATAACCAATAAACTTAGTTGTTACAAAATATACAACAACATATTAATATGTTCCCTAAACACTAAATAAATTATATTCAACTTACTGCTCCATATATGTCACCATCAAATCGAATTGGGACGAACTAGTCTTCATATTTTATTTATTATAATTTAATAATCTCAATTATAATTAAATAAATCGTAATGCACAACAAACACACTGTCAAAGTATATTAAAGATGCTATAATAACCACAACTTTGATAGACAGCTTCTAATATTAAGACGACTAAGTAAATATGTCATCCTAAACTTGGTTAGTTTATTTCACGACACTAACATGTTACCAACATAAGAGAAGGAACGAACGCGATTCAAGGTGAGTAAACGCGAATCGAAAGGTTAGCTTCGATTGTAACACACACTCGCTTGTCTTCACTTGTCGATAGGTATGACGTTCACTCGGTTAACGCGATGGTGAAGTCATTCGAATTATTTTGTGGAACTCGCACTAGGCACACAGATCCTCATTACACGCATACGCCCTCGCCACCAGTGCGATACCGAACATGCACATACAAGTCGTATTCGTCCGGTATCGCACTGAATGCAAATTATTTTCGTTCTGTGCGTACAGGGCAAATATGCTATGCATCTTTTTTCTATTGTAATAATACCGTCTTAAAGTCAGAAGCAATAATATATATTTGTCTCACTTTAATTCACAGAATATCGTACCTAAAATGACGCCGCACGAGCGAGCAAAACTAGTTTTTGGCGTTCGCACTGCGGGTAAGTTCATTACCGGCTATATATGTCCGGTAACGCACTTAACGTGTTAAGGAAAGATTTGATTACGTCCGCGTAAAATGTTGGTGAACGTTTTAATTGTACCAATAACTGTTTTCCAATTGCGATAACTGATAAGTCTGAAAGACGCTCTTGACCTTGTGTATTTCTCAAATAAGTATGGATGCGCTTCAGAGATGAGAAAGCACGTTCCGCAGAGGATTTTGTGTCTGGAATAGTTACGACAAGATAAGCCAACTTTAAAAGCTGGGGAAAGGCCTCTTCAAGACTATTTTTTTTATTTTTTTTTATAGGATAAGGGTGACAAACGAGCACACAGTCCACCTGGTGGTAAGTGGTTGCTGCGGCCCATAGACATCTACATCTATCCTCTGTTACAAATCAAAATGTAGATGCGTTGTCACCCGTGAGGACTAAGATGGAATGCCTCATTTCCAGTAAAAAGGGCCTCCGGCCACCTGTACTCACCAAGCGAAACGCAGAGGTAAACCTCTACTTCACGCTGGTTTTCTGTGAGGTCGTGGTACTACCCCGGTTCGAGCCGGCCCATCCGTGCGACAGCAAAAGCTGCCGCGTGGCTCTACCACTGTTAATAATTAATTATTATTAACAGTGGTATTATTATTAAATTTTCCTTTATAAAGTCAATGAGTTCGAAAACATTGCGGTCTTTTAATTCAGGGGGTTTGTTTATCAAAATGGTTTGCGTAATTTTCAAATAATGAATCTAATGCCTCTAAAGGAAAATTTGAACGATATTTTTCGAATAGTTTGTTGTTGAACAATTGAAATAATTTTAATTAAAAATTTCAGAATATCGGCCATTAATTTCTGAAGATATTTTATCAATTATTTCAACAAAATGTCGTTTGTATTGTCTGAGCATAGCGCACATTGCGTCTCAAACGAGGAGCGGAGTTATTTTGCAATGTGTTTTTATAAATGTGATCAAAATCTGACTAAAATGCAGTACGTAACCGTGTCTGAAACTCCTTTATTTTAATACTGCAATAACCGACATTGACTTGTGATTTTTGTAAAATATTGCACAAGCAATCGGTTTTATTCAAATACCCGGTGGAAAAATGAAAGATAAAAATTAAAATGAAATGAACGCAATGTGTTTTCAAAATTCTCGCCGGCCAAGGTCGTATTGCCGTCCCAGTTCTGCGGATTGTCGCATATATCCGAAAACAAATTAATCAGATTATGTTTTTGTTCGAATACTGTATTCATAATCCGTGACGTATACTTCCAACGAGTTTCGGGGGCATTAGGCAATTTTTAGCTGCAATGTGCATGATAAAAAGACGACCGTTTTGTGCTGTTATTAAAAAAAATTAAATAAAGCCTGAAGAGCTGAAAAAAAGTTCTGACTTCTCCAATCCTGTTATTGCATGCCGTAAGCGCAAAATGCGTAGTTATGTTCTACTACCGCCTAAAAATCAAGATTCCAACGTTTTGTCGCATGAAATCGTATCTAGCAATCATATTATACATAAAAATGATATAAAAATCACATTTTCAGAAAGATAATTAATTGTTGAACTTATTTTTTTTTTAGAATCGATTAATTGCTATTTTTACGTAAAAAGGGGTTTTAGTGGCTTATGGTGTGGATTTATCAAGTCTGTATGGCTTCGTATACACGATAACTTTTAAAAATATCAATTGTTCAACTCAATCTATTTTTAAAACTATTCATCTATCATGTGGGAAGCCATAGAATGTTAATGGCAGTTTAATTATGTTTTGTTTAGTTATTCGGCTGCTAAATATCGAAAAATTTCGGTGATTTAACAGCCTTGTGTGAATTCATTTTAGTAAATAGAGACCAAGGAACATACTACACCCTGGATAGAGACTGCCTCACTCGTTTAGTTCGGCGTCAACCACCGTTGTGAGTGGATACTGTATCGGTTTTTTGCAGCGGCTCAAAAAGATCGCTGTACAAATAAATACAAAATATTCGAAAAACAAATTTCATACAAACTTGATTATTATAATAATCAGAGATTTTTCTTACAATATTTTAAAAGCACAGAATAAATAATAGTAGTACGTACTAAAAGTAAGTAGGATGTAATATTTATACTTAAATACGTCTTGGACTTTATGGAGTGACATGAATGATGATATGATGATTTTGAGATCATATGAGCATTATGAGTCGTGAACTTTTGGATTTTCCAAACTTTTTTTTAAATTGTAGTTTGACACAAAATTATCGGAAAATTGGAAGTATAATAAGGTTATTAGTGAAAACTTGTGTGTATTTAAACTATTTAAAAAAATAATAAATGCGATTAGGGCATGCCCAATTGGATTTACCAATAGTTTTTTAAGATAAAACTAATGCCAAATGTGTGCATTACACCAAATATATATGGTTTGGGGACAAACATCTTTAACTTTTTGTTACACTCCATATCTGACACCGGACATGACACTTGCACCGTCATAGCTTTGCGCAAGTAGTTTTGTGGTACAGTCATGTTTGTTTAATAATTCCAATATGATATAACAAAGTGTGTCTGCTGTGGGACTTTCAGACACATCTACATACCCCAAAATCGGTCATGAATATCGTTTCCATAATAATATCGGAGAATCAGACACAATCGCTCTCTGTGACTAACATCGGGAGTTTCGTCAATGATAATTGAAACGAATTTTGACAATTTTACTTTGTACTCGATGCGAGTTTTCATTACATCAGCGACAGAATGAACTCGTCCCTTTGTTGATGCTGCTATGCTTTTATAACACGAAATCGTACTTCGAAAGAAGCGATACAAGTTCTAAAAAATTGCCTCTATTTAATGAAATTTTCGACTCATCCTGACCTCTGAAAGGAAGTTCTTGTTGTGCTAAATGGCAAACAATATCGACTAACCTTTGAAAAACACTACGGTGGTGATTAACACACATGTTGTGTTTTGTAATTTCCTAGGATAACTGGCGCGACAAAGATGTTTCAAACCGATTTTTTCCAAAATTACTAAACGAAATTACCGCATTCATGTCTTTTTGAGAATTCATATGCCTTTTAATGGCTCCAGATAAGTTATTTAAATCATCATATCCAGTTGTATTCCAAGCTGTTGGCATAAAAAAAAGAATATGCAGCACCAACAGTACAACTTATTGGCATGTGAGCAGCCAACAATTCAATGAGTTTTGTAAACAGATCTATTAAATTGCCGTTTGTTGGTTTTACTCGTCTGAGGAATACACAGATCAGGCGTTGGTTTCGGCGTGGATATGAGCTGTTTTTTCTTAACAAAGTTTAAAGATTTTACCTTTTCCTCGCTGATTAGCATTTTAGCACACTTCAATTCATCATAAGGAACACTATTACCCTCCATTTTCACAAAAAATCTTTAAAAAAGCATACATTTTCAACTCGCAATATTCATTCGCTCAAGTAAACATTATATGTTTTTTTACATTAATGAACTTATCGCCCGCGCGCGACTAACTTCACACCGAAAGGTCCGGCTTATCGCTCCATACTAATTGCTGTATAAACAATCATAATTATATTTCATTATAGAACCTTTTGCCACAGGTTACAAAGGGAGCGATCGTCTTCTCCAAAGCTTGGTAAAAAGTCCACACGTACGAGAGAGACGACTAATCGCTCATCTCAACTCCCTTTTTATGACAGCAGTATCGCGCAGTTTTGCCTCGACCGGTGTCCGTCCAACCGCAGTCTGTCGTAGCACAATTTCTTTGTTTAGTGCTCATTTCAAGGATATGATCATTGTCTTTAGATTCTACTTGATTTTCTGGAATGAAAATTTTTTTCTTGATTCCGTGTGATTTATTAACCATATGAGTTTTGCCACGGAACTCACTGTTGGGAACTAATAAATAGGTACTTAAATTAAAAATTAAAAACTAAAATACTAAAATGAAAAAGCCTTTATTTCGGGATTTGTGACTTATTGATATTAATATTTACAAGTTCTAACTTCTACTTATTTCTAACTTATTTCTAAGTTCTAACCTCCAAGACACATGACATGCAGATCCTGTCCTGTCAGCTGTTAGATGTCTTGTATATGATCTGTCACTTTTAGGCTGTGTCGCTATAGCGGTAATATTCAAAAATAAAGAAAAGCTACTTCCAAGTATTAAAAATCATGGACATTTCCTTTACATCTCCCCCTCCAAAAGAAAACAATTGCAAGGAATAAGGTCCGCAATTGTTTATTTACAGTCAAATACTGGAGATAGTTTTGTAATGTGGTAGAGATTCGATTCCGCTTTCCTGTGTTCGGTGTCAATTTCATAGATTGAATTTGAAATCTTCTTTAGAATTATGTATGGTCCAATCCTC